GAAGGGGAACTGACAAGTTGCTGTCTTTTGCTCTTCAGTCTAGTTATGGAGGATGTTGCTTCACTGGTCCATGTTGGTATTATCATTGTGCTCTTCCTGGGTGAGGCAGATGGGTTGCCAGCCTCTGGATGGTTGCTCATGGTGGCTCTTGGCAGCTGACACCGGCTGCTGGCCACTCATGGTAGCTCACAGCAGCCCACTGCAGCCTCACTGCAGCCTATGCCGTGGCCGGTGACTCACGGCAGCCCAGCTCCAGGTCGAGCTGTTGTTCACCATCTTAGATGTAGAGGGCGCAGCATCACCGGCCTGCATGTGGGATCTGAACCGGGGCCCCTGCTGCTCAGAGCTGGCGTCCCAAGCCAGCTCTTAACCAACATGCCACTCGGACAGCCCTCAGCATGCATTGGATTGCAAGCAACAAAAACCCCAATTTAGAGTGATTTCAAGAAAAATGATATTTATTATTTTACATGACAAGGTGTTCAGTGGTAAGGAGAGTCATGAGGTTGGTTGGTTTTGCAACTAAATGATGTCATACGTGACCAAGATTCCTTTCTTCTTCCACGGCCAAATCACAGCTTCATTCTAAGGCTGCTTTTTTTCATGCTCACAGTATGGCTACTGGTCTCAGACAGGGATACACGCTTCTTTGTTCATATCCAGTGGAAGCTAGATCACCAGCAACAGTCTCACAAAACTTGTAACCGAAGTCTGTACTGTGTGCAAATGCTGTGGTTTCCTAAGGTCTTAAAGATTCCAGACAGCCAGCTATAAAAGGTACTTATGTAACTAGCAACACTCTGAGATAAACAGAGCTTCTCACTGCAGTCATAGCCACGTGTCTTATTTGTGCAGAGCTCAAATTTGCAATAGATCTTTGGCGATAGCTATGCTGACCCTCATAGACACTGTACCTCATGTTTGGTTAGCATGTTTAAGCTTACCAAGCAGTGTAATAGCTCATTTTATAAAACCTTTAGTTGAAGAGATGAGGACTCTGAGGGTTTTAGGCGTCAAGTGACTTGGCCAAATTCACCATCAGTTAGCGATGCAGCCAGAGGTCACATCTGATCATCAAACATCCTTTTCATAATTATTTCCTTTACATCACATTGATTCCCTCTTCAGTGCTTAGATTTCACCAGGGAGGCACAGTAGCAATTTCAAAGAAATATTGCAAGTTCATACATGATGCTTACAAACTTCAAATGTCAGGAAACTCACATTGTTTATATCCCCAATGGTAACATTTGGCTATTTGGAATTTTGACTCTAATGAGACGGGACAAACTTGAAATCCTGGGGTCTCCTCAACTTCTCAATCTCCCTTCCCTCCTCAGTGTCCAATCAACTGTTCTGATAGGTGGATTCTAATCCCTAAATATCTCTTGCATTCATCCCGTTTTCTATTTCCACAGCCCCAGTATGTGTTCAGGCCTTTGTTATAATACAGTAACCTCTGTCACTTTGCCTCCATTTTCTCCCCATTGTATTTCTTACACAATGGTGCTGGATTAATGTTTTCAAAACACAATGCAGGTAATGATGTATGACTCCTTGCCTGCCCCAGCTCTAAAACTATTAATTTTCCTTTTACTATATATTAAATTCTTCACTCCATAATCTTTCTAAGACTCTCAACAATCTGACTCTAATATTCCTTTTCAAATCTTGACAAAGTCCTCCTTTGTGGGTGGGGGTTGTAGGCCGTGGTGTACTAGAGCCAGCTCACAAGGCTTTTGAGAACGAATCTTACACCTGTCTTCCCAACTCTGTGTTCAGTGATGTCACTTTTGTAGCTTGAAGCTGACCATGGGAGGAACACTTATACCAGACAAATCAGTCAACACCACAAATTAGAGCGACCTTCCTTCCTTCCTTCCAAGAGCTGGTTATTAAACATTTACCAGCACACTACCAGTTGCAGGGTAACTAGGACTAAACCTGAGAGTAAGGGTTCCTTATTATGGGGGGGAGGGTAAAGATGTTGACACTGAAAGCCCAGGTACCAAATCAGAGATAAGAGGGGCTGGGGAAAGTGAAGAACAAGCAGGGTACTGAAAAATCATTGAGGGGGTGACTGGTTGGCTCAGTTGGTTAGAGTGTCATGCTGATAACACCAAAGTTGCCGGTTTGATCCCCGCATGGGCCACTGTGAGCTGCGCCCTCTTTAAAAGAGTCAACTATGCCATTGTAGCATGAAAGCAATGTGTATCCAATGACCATGGCTGTTCCCCAATAAAATAAAATTTAAAAAAAGAAAAAATCCTTGAGAAGGTAGATCTGGGCAAAGATTGAGTTCCTACAGAAACAGACATTGAGAAAGGGATTTGAGTTCAGGTGGTTTATTTGGAAGATGATCCCAGGAAGCACTGGTAGGGGAGTGAGGGAAGGGAGGCAATGAAGGAAAGACAGCTAATACATGGTGCACTGATGAGCAGGTTTCTATTGTGGGCTATTGAGGCTCAGTCCCACTGGGGTATTGGCAGAGTGGGTAAAACACGCCTCATGCAGGGGTGAGGAGTACGGGGTGTTTATCCTTAGGTAGACAGCTGTGCGTGCTTGCATTAAGCAGCAGCAGGTATACGAATAGGACATGGACACTCATGGTTACACTCATGGGTTTAGGTTGTTCATAACTTGCTTGGTGGTGGCAGGGCTTCATGTAAATGGTCAATGATGGGGTGGATCCACCCCTCCAATTGTTAATCATTTGTTGCTACTCCACACACCTTATTTGTTCCTTCCTCTGGGTCTACTCCAAGTTCCTTCCTTTGCTATCATATTCTTTGGAGGTCCCTCCAGTTTTGGTGATGTCCCGATTCTTCCTAAGTCATCACGGATTAGTGCCATGTCCTCCAGGAACCCCATCTAACCCCTATCCCCAACCTGCCATGCTGGAAGCTGGATGAGGAGCAAGCCAAGCTGGAGGTTCCAGGAGGCCTGAAGCAAGGAAGCAGGGAACAAGCCCCTCCTCCTCGGTTAGAATGCATGGGGTCTGGGAAAGAGACAGAAGCTGTGCTGTGGAGTCATTCCAAATGGCGAAGTCCATGTGCAAAGAGACTCATCGTTATTGTTTATCACTATATCCCTCCGAGCCCACCCAGCACAGATACCCGGTCAATTGTGACTGCACAATTGTTGTTGATGGCAGAGAAAAATGAGTGAATGGAGGGCTGGATGGACAAAGGGAACTAGATAGGGAGCCAAACCAGGAAGTTGAAGAGGAATTAGAGGAGTCAGGAGTGAGTGGATCAGTAAGAGCACCTGGGTGCATTCTGAGGACGAACGTCAAACCCTGTAAGGTGTTTTTCCACATGTGACCCAGATGTCAGTTGAGATATATTGTTTTCTGAGAATCAGTGAAATTGCCTTTAACCTCATCCCACTTCTGGGGCTGCTCCTCTCTTCCAATGTCTCCAGGGGTTATGGGTGGTTTAAGTTTGTTTTTTTTCCTTTAATCCCTCTGGTGGACTGAGCACCTACCTCCATAGAATTACCATGGTTCATGAGTTGATTTGGCATCTTAGAAGCACTGCCCATACTCTCTACCACAGCACTGCAGATGCTTCTTGATTGCTCCCCAAATGTTGCTCATACGACTTGTTTGTGTAGGTAGCACAGTTGACTGAAGATACGGGCTTTCCATTAGAATGGAGTTGGACCTTTTCTCCCTCTGTCTCCCTGCAAACATTGTTTCCTTCCCTGTATTACATAGAACAATTTTGCTTTCTGAAACATCTGTCCTGTTTTGCCTATTCAGAGATGCTTTGTGGTCTCTTCAAACAAAGCATCCATCCATTCTCCCACTTGGAGCATTCATGCTATACCTTCTTACCTCCATGCCTTTGTAAACACTTGCCTCTGTCTGGAATATTCTTTGCAGAATAGAAGGTTTGGCAGAAGTTTGGGAATTTCAGTCTTTCCCTCCCTTTCTCCCACATCATTCTCTGTGTCAGGATTCATTTCCCTGCTGATATTAATTATGACATCACAACCATTCCTGCCCTTGATGCGGCCATAGTTGGTTTTTAAATAACACTTTCCTTGCATTACATAAACTTCTAGCAAGCCCTTACCTGGGTTTGCTAAAGTCCCATGAATTGACCAGGAGAGGCAGCCCCCACCCCTTTTTCTCTTTTCCCTGCCTCCTGCCTTTCCCAGCTTAGAGCTTCCCAACTTCCCTGTGATGTGGTAGCCCTTTATCTGGACCTCTTCTATGGGCTTGTGTTATGGATATTTAGTTACAAATCTTATCACCCTTACTAAACTGTAAGCTCGGCAAAGGTGAGATCATTTTCCTCCTCTGAAATTCTAGGCTAACCCAGTATCTAACACAAGATAGATTTTGAAAACATTTAATAACTGAATGAATGAATATGAAGCTATGGATGGCCCCTTGCTCATCTGAAGAGGCTGCCAGGAGAGGAGCATATGATGCCCCCCTCCCCACATCTACTGATTCTGGGTTCCTGCTAGAATTAATATAGAACTACTGATTTACTGAAGATCTACTATGTGCAAGGCACAGGGAGCTCCAGGACAGAGATCTTTTTACTACACCTCTATCTAGCTTTTTGCCACCAAAACCAACCAACTAACCAAGCAACGAAATAAGCCAAAAATAACTTCCAGGGCACTTCTTTCTATTCGTTTTTGTGGAAAAGCTGGGGCTTAGAGGTAGGAAAGTGATATCACAGGAAATACTCAGGGCTGTCACGTCTACATCTGGGGATTGGCACTGCCAATTCCCATTTTCTGAATGAGTTATTTCTGTGTGCCTTCATGGCAGTCAGCACTGCAGTGCCTTGCATATATTATACGCTCAATGAATACTTGTCAATTGATTTTGTACAAATATGTGACAGCATAAATATATTATGAAAAATGAGGAGTCTGGGCACCAAAAGAGTCAGGATTCCTTTAAAAAAACAACAACAAAAAAACCCCCAGAAAGTGGTGGAGCTTGGCTTAAAGTTCAAATGCCCCTGTACTCTGCCCTGCAGTATCTCTAAACATGGGAATTTGATAAGGTAGTTGAAGGGTAATACTACCTTTGCTCTCTCAGTGCAATCAAAAACATTCCTAGCTTTTAGGTGGACTCCACTGGCTACCTTCGTGAGGCAGTTTCAAGAGCAGAGCAAAAGAAGATGCTGTTTAATTTGAGGAGCCTGTTGAACAATGCAGCTTTTCGAAATGGTCACAATTTTGTGGTGCGAAATTTTCGGTAAGTGATGATGGCCAGAGATTTGAGTCTGATGTAGGAACCATGGTGATAAATGAAATTTATCTATTCTGCAGAGGAGTGCAGCTTCAAAAGGCCTCTTTCTGCAGGGTAGTGCCAGGTTCAACCCTTATTTGAGACAGCTGTCTCTAATTCCAGCTGAGCTTTCATTCCTCAGTCCTCTGTAATCAGATTTCATTGTGCACTGGGGTGTGTATATGTGTGTGTGGCAGGGGGTGGCGAGGACTAACCACGCAGGTATAACAGACTAAATGTTCTTGACATCTTCTGTTTGTGTACATTCTAAACGAGGCTGAAGAAAATTAGAGGAACTAATTTACATAGGGCTTTCAGCTTGTATTTGGATTTGCTTGAAAACAATATATGATTCTAGGGCATGGGGATGAATCATTTCCTTAAAAGAACAGACCCTAAATAGCAACTAGCTTCATATTTACAAAGCTCCTGCAAAGGGACTTTGTGTGTGATGAGGAGAATGATTTTTTAAAAAAGATTTTTATTGGGGAATTGGGGGGATGGGAACAGCACTGGGGAATTGGGGGAAGAGGAACAGACAAGTTGCTGTCGTTTTGTTCTTCAGTCTAGTTGTGGAGGACGTTGCTTCACTGGCCCAAGTTGGCACCATCATTGCATTCTTCCCGGGCGAGGCAAATCAGTCGCCGGCTTCTGGACGGCCGCTCATGCTGGCTGCTGGCCGCTCATGCTGGCTGCTGGCCGCTCACACTGGCTGCTGGCTACATACGGTAGCCCATGGCAACTCACTGCCACAGGGTCTGCAGCCTACGCCGTCGCCGGCCACTCACGGCAGCCCAGCTCCAGGTTGAGCTGTTGTTCAGCATCTTAGCTGTAGAGGACAGTGTCACTGGCCCTCATATGTGGGATCTGAACCAGGGCCCTCTGGCGTCCCAAGCCAGTTCTTAACCATCGCGCCACTAGGCCGGCCCGAGAATGACTTTTTTAACAATAAAGTACAAATTTGAAATCCATCCCTGAAATTCTCAGTAGCATGTGCAAAGGAGGGTGTCTCCACTGACTTCACTATAAAAGCTCCATCCTGCCTATAGCCATGGAGCATGTGGTGGAAACTGGTTTCAGAGTGTGTCTGTGAGGAAGGGGCGAAGGGCGGTGAGCTAGTTGGGCAAGCAAGGCTATCAAAGGTGGACTTTGTTGCAAGAAAGCTTTCAGAGTAGCTAGAACATGTTAACAATGAGAATTTTCCCAGAGCCTCTTTACAACCGAAACCAACCTCAAAACACCTTTGTTGACTTCCTAAAGGAAGAAGCTTCTAGGCTGAAGTTTTTTTCCCACTGTTAGGAAGCGGACCTGTGACAGTGGCCCTGGGCCTCTCTTCTCTGGGCCACCTCATAGTTTTGAGTTCTCTGAATTCCACCATTAGCACCACTTCCTTAGTGAATATAAGACTCAGAAGCCAGAAAGACATTGTAAATGATGTTGTAAATTAAGCCCATAGTATTAGACCAAGGTGGAACCACAGAGCCACAGAGTAATGCCTCCTCTTATTATACAGATAGAGTAAATAAAGTCCAGAGAGATCATGGGGTTTCTAATGAGTGCCAGAGTTAGACCATATATACAAGAATCTGGAGGAAAGCTCAGGTTTTGGAGTCTCAAGAGCTAGGTTCAGGGCAGACCGAGTGGCTCAGTTGGTTAAAAGCGTGAGCTCTGAGCAACAGGGTCGCTGGTTCGGTTTCCACATGGGCCAGTGAGCTGCGCCCGAGCTGAGCTGCCGTTGAGCTACCAACAGGCGGCCGGATGGCTCAGCTGGTGAGAGCACATGCTCCTAACAACAAGGTTGCTGGTTCGACTCCCACATGGGATGGTGGGCTGCGGGCCCTCTCCCCACCCCACAACTAAGACTGAACGCAGCACCTTGAGCTGAGCAGCCACAAGCTGCCAACTGGCGGCCAGATGGCAACTGGACTTGGAGCTGAGCTAGCTGTGCCCTCCACAACTAAGATTGAAGGACAACAACTTGGCTGTTCCCCTTCCCCAATTCCCCCAACACTGTTCCCCTCCCCCAATTCCCCAATAAAATCTAAAAAAAAAAAAGATCTAGGTTCAAGGCCTGGCCCACCACTTGCTGGCTATATGACCTTGAGCAAGTCACTCAACTTTCCTATAACGTTGCTTCACCTATCAAATGGGAAAAAGAGAAATATTTGCTCTGCTCCAGCACAGGGTAGTTCAATCATTCATTTACTAAATACTTGTTGAGCACTCACTTTGTGCCACACCCTAGGCAAGGTGTTGGAGATACAGTGGTAAATAAGATATTTCATTCCAGACGCATGAAGTATGTGTGTGAAAACTGTAAAGTGACAGACAAATGTTCAATATTTTATTATTCCATCTCACTGAGTTACATCAGATAAAAGTGTGATGAAATTTTATTCCATAGTCTTTGGCAAAGAATCATCCCTGAGCTGAAAATGATCAACTAAACGAATAGCCAAATCTTGAAACTTAAAGTTATAATTTTCTTTGTAAATTTCAGTGATGATTGATTTTTTTTTTTACAATTATGACAAGTTAAATTTTTGCAAGCAAAACCTCTTCCAAGTAGTTGGGCTTTTTTCACATTTACTAATATTCTGTTGCCTATATCCAGTAGCCAGGCTACAATTCTGAAAATCCCGGCTAGCCGTCGCTCACAGTGAATGGGGGCTTAGGATGAATCAGCCCAAATCCATACCTGCTATTGGAAAATGTGAAAGCGTCCAATCATCTTATTAGGAGCTTGAGAGTGTGAGTCTCTGTTGAAAAATGGAATAACATTGAAATAGCATCATTCTCATGTGGCATGACTATTTTTCTTTCTCACTCCTTTAGTTAGCCACACTACCTGTCAGCTAGATGAATTCAGAACGGCTGATCTCCAATGAGACCTACAGCCTTTGATGACCCCTCAACAACAGAGAAAAGCTCTGTGTCAACTCTGCCTATATTGTACTTTTACTTTGATTTTCAGCCTTCCACAGAGATTTGACTCCCCCCACCCCCATCTCTCTTGGGAATGGTGGAAGGCCTTTCTTACAAAGCCTACCACACGAGTTTACCACTAGAAGAGTAATAGGAAATATGTGGTTAGGGTTTGGCAATGTCACAAAACAGGGGCTACACCGTTTTGAAATGAGCAGCCATATCACCGTGGACAAGATAAAATAACAACTTAAGTGAAGGTGAAGGCATCCACGCTGGCTCCTGGATCAATCATTTTTAGTCAATTATTATTATTATTTTTTACAAAATCAATAAGATCCGACACGAAGACTGCCAAAAACACCCAATCCATAGGCTTTTCATCTTACAAACGAGGCTCTAGAGCCCAGCTGTGTTTGGCTAATAGACAGTGTCCTATGATTTGTTGCCTATTAGGACAACCACTTACAGCTTTTAAAGAAACCACTAAAAAATCTCTTTCTTTATCAGAGAAGACCAATTTGTCAGTGCAGTTCAATTTCATCTTACAAATAGAAATTTCTTCAGAGAATATTGAGCTAAGCCACACAATTCTATGGAGGTTATGGATTGAAGCCGGAGGTGACTGGTTTTCAGGTATTTCATTCCAGGCTTCTCTAAGGCTTACATAACTCATTATGTTCCCTTCATCACCCACACACGCCCACCTATGCACACATGGACACACGGACCAAGCAATCACAGGCATCCATGTTCTTCCATAGAGGAGAGAAAACAGTCCTCTGATTATTTACATTTTCTGTCATAACTGAACATGATTGCCTTTTTAAAAGCATATTTTTTTAAGATATTTTATTGGGGAATCAGGGAAGAGGAAGAAACAAGCTGCTTTCCTTCTGTTCTTCAGTCTAGTTGTGGAGAACATGGATTCACTGGCCCATGTTGGTATTATCATTGTGCTCTTCCCAGGTGAGGCAGATGGGTCGTCGGCCATTGGATGAAGGCTCATGGCAGCTTCACTGGCTGCTCACGCCGGCTGCAGGCCACTCACGATAGCTTACGGCAGCCCACTGCAGCTCCACTGCAGCCTACGCCGTGGCCGGCCACTTACGGCACCCCACCTCCAGGTCGAGCTATTGTTCACCATTTTAGCTGTAGAGGACACAGCGTCACTGGCCCTCATGTGGGATCCGAATTGGCGGCCCTGCTGCTCGGAGCTCATGCTCCCAAGCCAGCTCTTAACCAACTGAGCCACTCGGCTGGTCCCCTAAAAGCATATTTCTTGACTTCAGAAAACTATATAAAGCATGAGACCAGGCATGGAATGGGGTCATAATGTTTCCCTTGGCCAACAGTAGAATTTGGGGTTTATTTCTAGTTTGTTGTTTTTAGTAATTTAGTAATTTAACTAAGATAAAAGAAGTAGAAGCAGTCACAGATTTTCAACAGGTTTGGGTTTCCAGCCTTTTAATAGCAGATCTGCAAAAGCTAACCCTCGTCTCACTCTTCCATTTTCAGATGAGGGGAAATCTCACAATTTTAGAATACCGACAACCTAAGGTATCTTAGAAGCCAACTAGTCATCCAGTTATCAATAGTAATTTATACCACATGTGAGTATGTGGCAACAGTGAGAAGGGTTTCAAATACATTTTTATTAATACATTATTATTATTGTTAATAACAAAGTAAAGAAATTTGGAAATGATTTGTGCTTTTTTCTTGATATTTTAATGCATTATTATTTTTTTATTAGTTTCAGGTATACAAAACAATGTAATAGACATTTATACCCCTCACAAAGTGATAACTCCCCTCCCCCAATCTACTACCCCTTTGACATTGTATATAGTTACAATTCCACTGACTCTACTCCCTATGCTGCACTCCACATCCCGTGATGAGATATATATATATATATATATATATATATATATATATATATGTGTATATATACATATATATATATACATATATATATATATATAGTTGACATTCATTATTATTCAGCTTTAGCTTCAGGTGTGCAGTGTAGTGGTCAG